AAGCGGGGCGTGTGTTTTCGGGGTACCCAGCTGGGGGCATTGATTCGCGAATCGCCGGGCGATCCGGTACGGCTTGTCTACGGTTTAGCATCGTAGTAAGAACTGAAAGATGAAAGATGAAAGATGGAAGATGGAAAAAGAAAATCTGATTGCTTACCACCTGCTTGAAAGTAGCAAAGGTGCTTACATCGAATGGTTAGTTAATGAACCAATGCGGCTGTTAATAAAAATCGAATATAAGGACACACGCTTAGTAATGCTTTCTGCAAATGCAATAAACTCACAAGCCAGATAGCCTTGCATATCCTTGGAGTCTTTTCTTTTCTCCTATCGGGTAAGTCTTGCTGAGTACAATTGAGTACTCAGGGTTTTATTCCCCCTGTTGCAGGTGACAGGTGGATGCTTGAGCTGACTCTTGTGTGTGGATTCCTCCTGGTGGGCTCAGAGAGGATTTCCTTTACGTTGCGATCGTAGTTTATTTGTAACCCCCACTAAATATTTTTATAAATGAAAATGTTATAATCTGTTTTTATAGTTTACATATTCCTGTTTCATTATGCCATGAATAGATGATTACTTCCGCTGTAATTCTGATCACATGTTTATATTCCACTATTACATTAAATAGTTCATAACTCTGATAATATGATTACATTTCGCTGTTATACAATAACTCTTATACTCTGATGCTGTATTAAAAGTGATGTAAGAAATGGTTAAATGTTGTAAGCTTTATTCTCTTATTTGTGATCCTGATGGCAAAAATGTGGATTTTCGGGTTCTCCCCTGGGGTGTGCCCGACGGAACCGAGTAATTTAGTGTTCTCCCTTGAGTGCTTAGTGTCTAATGGAAGACAAGCATTCCTGGGAGGTATTAGATTAGGCGGTTCTGCCACAGGTGGTATCAGAGCATAAATGAGGAAATAAAGCTTTCAAATCCTTTTCTAAGCTAAAATTTGACAACCTATTTTTGCAAAAAGTTAGGACGTTTACATGCGAAGTTATATAAGTAGCCCTATTACTATGGTTATGTATCCAGGATAGATGGCACTCTACTGACTTAGATAGGCTTAATCAAGTTTTCTGCAGGTACACTGACTCGAGCATAGTTCGATAGTATCGACTAGCTAAAGGGAGAGAACGTTGTGCCAAAAATATGAGAACGGTTGCCCTATATGCTGGCAACAATGAAAGGACGTATAGGACGTGCATTCATGCATATCCTGTTTGTGCATTGTAGCGCTCGTATTGCTTGTAGATACACCCTCCATAGGTGTCACGACTGACTCGTTCCTGTTCCATAGTTAGGTCTGCACTGTGGCTTTGTGTTCCGTGTTCACCCGTGGTTTCACGCCTGTCGTGACCCATGTCTCCCCGTACCCCTTTTATGTGCTCTTGTCGGACCCTTGCCCTGCAGTCATACTAGTCAGTAATGGCCTTGAACGTCGCTCGCCTCGAACACGCGGAATTTGGTCGATTCGTCGTAGTGATCTCGCGCGGGAACCCTGGTGAACCGCGCCAGGACCACTGAGCGCTCCGCCTTTATGAGCAGAGCCTGACTTAGCTATTGGTATCACCACTCGGCGCATTTTAGCTCGCTTAGCTTTTCCTTTGAGCTAGCTTTTCGCTCAGCCTTCCTTGCAACCACCAGAGATGGCAGGAGCCTGGGTTAGTACCTACTGCCTAAACGTTGAGGGTTTTCCCAAAATCTGGCATGCCACCCTGCAAAAGCTCGGAGTCAAAGATCATCCCGAGTATGAGGGCCGTGAGTATGAGGAGCATGGCACCGAGCGGTGTGAGGTTACCGTCGACATCGGGAAGAGTGAGGAGTTCCCTGACCTCATCGAAACCTGGAGTGTGACCGCAACCGGGTTTCGCTTTGTCGACACCTATCAGGTTGTGGCCCGCAAAGCCTTGCGATACCTCTGCCAAATCTATGAGGAGCCCATTACCCGTACCCCCATGAGGTTCTTTCCACCTTTGGACAAGAATCGGCGGACATGGAGGGCTCGCATTGAGGCTTTGCAAGGGTGAGATGCGCAAGAGGACAGTCCAACCGTGGTGCACTTGACCACGTACCTGCTCGCTCTGGATGAGCAGTATGACCGGCAAGCCTTGGAGCTGGGGGCGTGCCTTCGGCGCGCCGAGGAAGCTGAGATCTTCAACCGGATGCTCCAGGTGCAGCTCACCGAAGCGCATGCCAGTGCTGCAGCTGCTGAGAGCCGAGAGACTGCCATGTCGGAAGCTTTGCAGGAGGCTGAAGACCGACATGTTCATCACCATGCGTGCACCCTATCTTGTCACCGGGCTGCCAGAAGGACGCTGGGCTCAGGCTGAAAAGCGAGATGCCCCGATCTTGGAAGGGATCCCTATCCACCCACCAGGAAGCAAAAGGACTGGTGTTGTAGCACCGCCAGCACCTCCACCCTCGGAAGTGTCAGAAGTTGAGCCCTTGATTCCTCTCACTCAGCCATTGCCACGAGAAGATGTAGATTAGTTGCCTTGGGATGTTGTACCCGTAGTAGTAGTAGTGTTTTTCGCTGTCCTCTCCCAGTATTGTGTTCGTGTGCCGTTGTTGTTCGTCCGTAGTTGTTAAGATCATCCGCCAGTAGGGAAGGTGAATGTTGTATCGTGCATGGGAGCCTGAATGCCTGTATGATGTACCCGTATCAGACTATTGGAACATGCATTTTATTTGTTTCGCTGTGTTTATTGTGTTCATCTACCTTAAGTTCGTTAGATATGCTTAAGAGTTTTCATGGGCGAAATTAAGCGGGTTACAAGAGAAGTTGATATTCAGATGCCAGCAGATCAGCCATGAACATAGGACACTGTATTGACTAATTGTGGATGTCCCAGCAGAACACTTGAATCTCTTTAAAACAAATCTGTCGTTGAATTTGAATTCCTTGTCCCTTGTTGTGAAGGGAACTTTTGTTGTTTGAATTTTTCCCTTGTAATACTCCCCTACTCTGTGGTCTATGACCCCACTACCTTCATGGCATGTAAGTTGGTAATAGTTGCCTGGTTAAAAGCTTATGGTGCCACGACGAAACCGAGGGCTCCCTGTGGAACAGCTGCCACATGGTGACGCTGCTTGGCACGCGCTGGTATCGAGGTTTTTGACCAAGTACGTTTACCAAGTTACACCGCCATACCGTTTTGCTACAAAATTTTCTCCTTGGAAATGTTCAGGTGTTCAAACGGGAAGTCCACAACGGGTTGATGCAATAGTGTACTATCAAAGTAAACAAAAGGAGGTGGTTTTGAAGGAAGAACGTACGTCATAATCTGAGTTTACATGAAAGACGGGCGTGGTCGAGTAGTAGGGAGTGCTTGTAAAAGCCTGAGTGGATGTCATGTCCCAAGCCCTGTGCTTAGTTGACCATGCTATGCATGCTGGGTTATTTCGCGGCGTGCCCTGCGAACGCCGTCTATGTCGGGTCCTTTAGCACCCCGTTTTCGCGTGGCCGCGGCATCGTGCCGTGCTCGCCGTCTTTGCGCACTGTGCGTTTCTCATTTTCCCAGCATCCGGTCGGCTCTCGACTCTCACGCCTCGTCCCCATACCAGACCCCCCCACATCCCTCTCCTTTCTTTCTTCTTTTGGTGACACGACCGCCCGCACGCCTGCCTCATCGAGCGGACCCCCTCTACTCTCCTTTATTTCCCCCTCCGCCGCTCACGTAGGAAGCGCACCATGTCTCCGACCTTATCCCCACAGCATGCACCGTCTGTGTATTCCATCCCCGCCGCATCCGCTTCCGGTGTGTTGCGCCCCATCTCCGTTCGCCGCTATAAGATACCCTTGGTCCTTGCTCTTCTTCTTCATCCCCATTCCTCTCACATTCACAGCAGAGCTACGAAATCCAGTTGACCTTGTGAAGCTAGGTTCGTCAGTCTGAGGTGATGGTGTAACCTGAAGAGAAGAAGGGATCTGGTTTTCGGAGAAGTTCAAGTCTACCTTTGGATAGCTCGATCTTAGGGTTCGTGATGTTTTACTTCCCAGTCGATTGTTTTTGGATCTGTTGGTGCTACGCTATGTTTTGGATAATCATTATCTTGTTGTTTCTCCATTGCCCTCGTCTATCTCGACTTCTAGATTAAGTCTCGGTTGTACCAGGTTGCTCTTAACCATGTATCCCTAGATCCCTGTGTGGTTGAGTATTCGAAGTCGTGTAATCTTTCGTGTAATCTCTGATCTACGAAATATAATCACGTTTTTTTTCTAGTTCTAGCTTTGAATCTCGGGACGAGATTCTTTTTAAGGGGGGTTGGTTATAACACCCCTGGTGTTACGAGTTTATTTAGCACCGTGATTTAGGCCTAAGAAAAATTTCCAAAAAGAGTTTCTCGTGTTTTTAATTTAAAACGTATTTTTGATCACTGTCTCGTTCTCATCGTGGCCCTGCAATTCGCTGCATTGCAAAGTCTCCTCATCCATCCGCATCCATGCTCCCTGGCTTTTGCTTTGTTTTTCTCTCTGACTTGATTATTACTTCGTCTACATTTGTCGAGCCACTCCTTGTTTTCCCTCCCTCTTTGTTTGTCTCTGCGCGTCATGGTCTTGTCCGGTATAACCAACCGGCATCGCCTCGTCCGGGCACGTTGGGCCCGGGCGCCATGTCGTCAGATATTTAAGAAGTAACCGAGCCCGCACGCGTCTCCTTGCTTGTTCGTCTTGAGCTAGTCTGCGAATGATCTTCTCATTCTCCCTTCTTAATTTAATTAGCACATACACTCTTTATTGCTGATCAGCCCCGTTGTCACGACAAAGACACACTGAAGTTCAAGTCCATCATGAATCAACTATAGGATGTGGCCTGTGGCTCGGTATGTCTAAGTGAAGTGCAACAATGGAGCTAATAATACGACTCAGCACAAGACTTCCAAAGTCATGGACGGATGCAAAAGGAGTTTTGAACAGCTTCAATTATTTGCTTGTTGTCTTGCGAATGATGATCATGCATTGAAAAAATGACATGCTGGTCAAGTGGCAGTATTTAAGTGTAGTGTTCGTCGAGCATGGACAATTCCAGACTACTCTGATCAACTAGCCCAGTTGACACGTCGAAAGACCAAAGACCACTCAAGTCCATCACCTAAAATCAAAACACGGTTCACTGATGAAAATGACATGCTGGTCAAGTGGCAGTATTTAAGTGTAGTGTTCGTCGAGCATGGACAATTCCAGACTACTCTGATCAACTAGCCCAGTTGACACGTCGAAAGACCAAAGACCACTCAAGTCCATCACCTAAAATCAAAACACGGTTCACTGCGTCTTGCATGTCTTGCACGTCGGGGGCACTGTAGCACCGTGGAAAATCACTGTAACCGTGAAAATCACTGTAGCACGAAGTCAAGAACCGGCTGACACGCCAGGTGACTCAGCCTGTTGTCTTGGTCGAAATTTTTGACGAGAAGGCCAGCGGAGAGTTAATGCGATGCTAGCGTTTTCTATGTTTCCAGTCGCATGTGGCTGCCGATCATGAGAGAGATGGACCGTGTGCAGGGCGTCCATTTTTTTTTTGACCGAGCAATTGAGAGAGGAGGCAGGCATGCAGGGTTCGTACATGACACTAGCACTAGCAGCCAACATATCTTTTAAAGGGAGTACCAGCAGCCGAGTAGAGAGTGCGCTCTTTGCAGCACCAGGGCGGCTGAGCAGTCCAAGCTGCAGTAGACCCTTGTTTCTCGTCTCCAACTGCGGCCGGCACCCCGGCGTCCGTGCCCGGTATCCCAGCGCGCTCGTGCTACTGCCGCAGCACACCGGCGTGACCGCGCTCTGGTTGCCTCCGCCCGCCCGCGGCATAGCGACGCCCGCACTGCCGACCTGTTGCCCTGGCTAAGCTCCAACTTATCTCTTTTGTCTTTTAAATATCTTGTTTATGTATGCTTCGCTTAGATAAGCATATTGCAACGATGTATACCATTTAGGTGCGATGGTGGATTAACTGGAGTAACCAAAAGAAGGTGTGATGGTGACCACACCCCGCGGATGGAAATGCTAACTTAGTTATAACGATGTTTACCCAGGCTCGTGATGTTTAGGTGCATAACCTCTACTTTTCTGCAGTTTAAATTATATTTGTGCATTAAGTTTTAAGGAGTTGAATGAAGCCCACTTGCATATATATCTTTATCCTATGAGTTTTACTAGTATGACAGGATCGTGTAGATTGCTATGCTACAGGACTCCGGTAGAAGTCGAGTGATTGTCTATCACTCGCAAGATACAGGAAATATGTTACTATATGATTATCACTTGGAAAATATCAAAATGGTGGAAAGAAAAATGGTGACCGGGCAGGGATATGATTTGGGTATTGGTGAGTGTAAGGAGTTGTGTCGCCGTGGACACGGGGCATAGCTTGGTTACACTATTTTTTCCCTGTCTGGTCGGTTAAGGACCGATCGTTGCATATGACTCTAGGTAGGTCACAGACTTATTATCCTGAGCACATACTTGGGTATGGGCGCTTGAAAGACTTGTTGCTCTCTTGTTGCGGATCCGGCTCTTTCCGGACCGACTGTCAGGGTTTTATTTTGGTGGAGGAGGTCCTTGCACCGCACTGAGTCCGGGACTCAGGGGCGGGGGCTTGGAGTCCCAGTTTGGACGGGGACCTGGACACCCGGGACAGGAGAGTGATGGGTTGGTCCTGCTTGTGCCTGGGGTACAAGCGGGGCGTGTGTTTTCGGGGTACCCAGCTGGGGGCATTGATTCGTGAATCGCCGGGCGATCCGGTACGGCTTGTCTACGGTTTAGCATCGTAGTAAGAACTGAAAGATAAAAGATGAAAGATGGAAGATGGAAAAAGAAAATCTGATTGCTTACCACCTGCTTGAAAGTAGCAAAGGTGCTTACATCGAATGGTTAGTTAATGAACCAATGCGGCTGTTAATAAAAATCGAATATAAAGACGCACACTTAGTAATGCTTTCTGCAAATGCAATAAACTCACAAGCCAGATAGCCTTGCATATCCTTGGAGTCTTTTCTTTTCTCCTATCGGGTAAGTCTTGCTGAGTACAATTGAGTACTCAGGGTTTTATTCCCCCTGTTGCAGGTGACAGGTGGATGCTTGAGCTGACTCTTGTGTGTGGATTCCTCCTGGTGGGCTCAGAGAGGATTTCCTTTACGTTGCGATCGTAGTTTATTTGTAACCCCCACTAAATATTTTTATAAATGAAAATGTTATAATCTGTTTTTATAGTTTACATATTCCTGTTTCATTATGCCATGAATAGATGATTACTTCCGCTGTAATTCTGATCACATGTTTATATTCCACTATTACATTAAATAGTTCATAACTCTGATAATATGATTACATTTCGCTGTTATACAATAACTCTTATACTCTGATGCTGTATTAAAAGTGATGTAAGAAATGGTTAAATGTTGTAAGCTTTATTCTCTTATTTGTGATCCTGATGGCAAAAATGTGGATTTTCGGGTTCTCCCCTGGGGTGTGCCCGACGGAACCGAGTAATTTAGTGTTCTCCCTTGAGTGCTTAGTGTCTAATGGAAGATAAGCATTCCTGGGAGGTATTAGATTAGGCGGTTCTGCCACATCAAGGTGGCCTAGGAATCTTGAATCTTGAAACCCAGAATGTTTGCTTACTTAGTAAATGGCTATATAAGTTAATTAATGAAGATGGGGTTTGGCAAGAGCTTCTTACAAAGAAGTACCTGAAAAATAAAACCATTAGTGAAGTTAAGTGGAAACCAGGAGACTCATATTTTTTGTCAGGCCTTATGAAGGTCAAAGATCGTTTCTGTCATCTATCCACTTTTAACCTTCATAATGGCACACATATTAGGTTCTGGGAGGATAGATGGTTTAGAAACTCCACTCTCAAAGAACAATACCCATCTCTATACAACATTTGTAGAAAGAAACACATTTCAGTAGCTAGTGTTTTCAGCTCTACACCCCTTAATATCTCTTTTAGAAGAGCATTAGTTGGGGAAAATCTACTTAAATGGAATGAGCTAGTTATGAGGATTGTATTTGTGCAATTGAATGACCAACGATATTCCATTAAGTGGAGCCTTTCAAAACTAGGATCTTTCACCGTACAATCAATGTATAAGCATCTTGTGAACCAACTTGCCATGCCTCTAAACAAATCAATATGGAAGTTGAAAACACCCCTTAAAATCAAGGTTTTCATTTGGTTCCTACTAAAAGGGGTAATTTTAATGAAAGACAACTTATTAAGAAGACGTTAGAAAGGAGATGATCGATGTTGTTTTTGTGACAAGAAGAAACCATCCAACATATCTTTTTTTATTGTCATGTTGCGAGATTTGTCTGGAGAGTTTTTACTATGGCATTTGGATTGCAACCTTCTATAGATCTAGAAGATTTATCTGGAGTGTGGTTTTAACAAACAGGCCAGCATATGGGTTCTCTAATTTGCGTGGGAACAAGTGCAATTTTATGGTCTATTTGGCTTAGTAGAAATGATGTGACTTTTGACAAAAAAAAGATTATACTCTTATTTCATGTTATTTTCAGGGCAACTTATTTGACTCGTCTCTGGAACATCCTGCAAAAGGAGAACAGATCAACTTTGAAGTGGGCCTGTCACATATTGGAGACTTTAGCTACGGAGGTCTTTGCCAAACATGGGGTGGTCGTCTTTTAAAAGAATTAGTGCTTAGACAGGCGCTTGCTTGCTTGGTTTCGCTTTTTTAAGCTTTTTAAAATGTTTGAAGCAGTAATAATAATTGGTTGTGTGCAAACCTCTTGCATAGGCCGGTATCCAAATTCCTTTTTCTAAAAAAAATAACGAACTTCAGGCAAATAGACTACTTATCAGCCTAACAGATTGCCGAACAGCAACCAACGGTAGTTTCAAAAGATTACCGAACACCATCATCAAAAGGCGGCCGTCTATCATAGGGGTATAACATCTGGATCATTCCCCTCCTCCCACCTGGCTGTCCTCCTGGCCATCGGTCAGTAGAAGTTGATCCTTCTTAAACGCCTTCTTGTCTAGCAGCTTCATGGCCATTTTCAGCCCTCTTTTAAAAAGGATTCAACGTGTTAATCGAGTTAGACCAGGGGATACACGCCTTCATAGCATAGTAGGTCGTTGTCATCCGATTCGATGAAGTCAGACACCATTGCATAACCACGTACAAGAGCTCAGCTGCAATGGGGTCACCATAGCGCAATGAGCTTCAGGAACAAGGATAGTGCTAGTTTACGGTGTCGCTGAGGCCAGGCGGACGGTGAACAAAAGGCAAAATATACTACCTGGCGGTGACCTGCTGATGTCTATTCCAATACTGCCTCATAAATAAAATAATTCATAGAGCCGTGTTAAGTTAAATATTTTTAAGTTTGATCAAATTTATAGAAAAGAGTTTGATCCAAACAAGAATAATTATATGATAGATTATTATATAATCAAAACTCTAGGTTACCATAATCTCATTGTCGGGTTCATAGACCTGGGGTCCCTCGCGGATCGGCTTCCTAACAAAGGCTCGACCCAAGCAGACAAATGCGCAACTCGTGAGCCGGTCCAAGTATCTGAACGATAGTCCAGAAGGGCAATCAATCACCAACCGGAAGGTCTGGCCGAGGAGGAACGGCACCCGCCTTCCGACTTCGGCCCACCTCTCCAACCGGAGCGCCCGTTTCGGTCTCCAGCCCGCCTCCGGACGGTCTCTCCGACCGGAAGGCCTGGCAAAGCACTACCTCCGACTCCGACCCCACGTCTGCGACCGGGGTATGCGAAGACCCTGCTCACTGCTCTTCTCCGACTGGTGCCACCAGAGCCGACTGGGACCAACCGACCGGGGATGCCCGCTTGGAAAAGACCAGAGAACGGACGGAGAAAGCAAAGCAAGGCGCACAAGTCAAACCACAATACTAGGGACTGTACCCTGTACACCTGCAAAAACAGTATTCTGCAACCTCCCTGACACAAACAGTGTTGTAGGCGCCGACATTTTCCTCTATAGTATTGTGGGCGCCATTAACTACGGTAAGGCCCCCCATGTGTCTCTGGGCATCGACAGTGTTGTGGGCGCCGGCATTTACCATATCAAGTGAACATGGTGAAACTCCTCACATGCCTCTGGGCATCAACAGTATAGCAAGTACCGACATCTGCCATACCCGAACAAAATGACGCAGCCTCCCACGGGCATCCGACATCCAACAGTGTTGTGGGCGCCTGCCATCATCCTGTACCCGCCGGCGTGGGCAACAAGACTTAGAAGCATTTATACTCCCTCCCTCTCACTTGTAAGGTCATCCCCTTCATCTATAAAAGGGGATGCGCTATCTCCCAAAAGACTCAGTTGACCCAACATTCAAGTAAAATCTAGATCGATGAAGTTCACTAGCTCACAACCACAGAATCGTCAGGTTCGGACCTCAAGTACTAGCTTGAACACTTAGCTCATAGCGGAGCCCCTGTCGCTCTCGGCCCTTCCGACCGGAGCCGACCGGACCTCTTGTACACCCCATCTTTCTCCTTCTTGTTTTTAACCCCACTGCAAACTTCGAGCACCTGGGCTCAGGAATAAAGTCACCGACTGACTCAAACTGGACGTAGGGCACATTGCCTGAACTAGTATAAACCCTGTGTCATTGAGTGCTAGGCCACCTCCGATCACAACGTATGGCAAAACTACAAATATTTACTTGTTGGTCACTTTCTGCACCAACAGTTGGCGCCGTCCGTGGGGAAGACGCTGTATGTTCAACACTTTTTGGTCATCGGATGACCCACTTTTCTGCCACCTTCGCCATGGCGGGCTCAGGCGATACGATTCGCTTCGGCTCAC